CAGATTTGTTTCGTTGTGTTCTGACATCGAGAGGTTTGCTGCTTGTCTCCTCTTACTTCGTTCAGATTTCTCAGAGTACTTAAGTTGCGGGCGTCCAGTTAGTGATAAAATTTTTTCATCTGGGCTTAAGACTTGCTTTGCGCGCCTTGCTGACTTCAATTTGCTTTGATTTACTTTGAAAACTTGCTTGGCCGAATGGTGGCTTGGAATGCTGTCAAAGTAACCAGCCGTCTGGTTGAAAAGTCAATGTCTGTTCCCTTAACGTTAATAATTATTTCCAAGAAAACTCTAAAAAATGTATCAAAAACTTTCAGATTTATTTTTAAATTAATGCGGATTAATGTTTGTATTTAAAAGAAATGATAATAATGATACATACATATCTATATCTACATTTACTAAAAAACTATAACTTAAAAGAGCAATTTACTTGAAGGAAAGAGCTATAAGAAGTTTTTCCTCTCGTGTAAAATTTATAAATGTGGGCTTTGCAACATTTTACTATAAGATATAAATATGGAATCAATGAATCATTTTTATTTCATTTCGAATTACCTGCATTTTCTGTGTTAGTTCTACTGTGCATTGAGTCTCTGTGGAAGCGGATTCTAAATTTATTTGCCTGTTTATTACAGTTTCTGAACAAAGCCAGCCAGAATATTTAATTTTAAAATCATCTAATCTTCTATGACACTTTTCCCACTTTGCAGACAAATTAATGTTAAGCATGCGTGGCTTTTCTGATAAATATTTATTGTATTCATCTGAAATTTCATCGGCTCCACTTTTTTGTATAAAATAATTTATTAGTGCGTCCTTATTTTTTCCTTTCTTCTGCTTGGTCAACCAAATATCAAAAACTGCTGAATTCTGTAAACAAATGACGACTGAAAAAAAAATTTACTCAAAAACCTCAAAAAACCGCAAATCGAGATAAACATTTTCAAAAACTAAACACTTCAAAGTAATTTTGGTGTTTAATCTTATGCTTAACACTCCTAAACAAAATGTGTTAAGCTTACTCAAACTTAAAAAATAAAATAAATTCCAAAATGTTAAAGACTTTTGGAAAAAGTTATTTTATTTTTTAGAGTATCCAATTTTTGAGTATTATATTTTACAAAATTAATAAACTTACCATCACCTTCGTTTTCCATTTAAACTTTTATTTAACACGCTTTGTTTTCAGCTTTAACAAGCAATTGAAGTAAGCACTATAAAACACCGAACGCAATTCTGTTTACAAATGAAGCAAACAAATTCAACTTCGATGACTCACCGAATAACGGTGAATTGCATATTACAACAACAAAATTCATTTTTGGTTGTTTTGGAGTGTTGATTACTAGATTTCAAAAACAACAACATATTTCGTGAGTGGAAACATTTTGACTTTTGGCCAACGAAATGAAATTTCCGACCATAGTGCGTTGGTGTAACAATTTTTTCCTGCGAAACATAACTTACATTGAACATCAAACAAAGAAAATATAACAAAAAATACACACTGATATCAACTTATTTATATTTAAGTGTACTTCTGCTCGTCTGTTCTCCTATTGAACATTATTGCTGTCCTGTATGCGCAATTTATATTGTCGACGTCAATTACGACGTTAAAATTCATTGCATTCTGTATTTTTTGTTGTATTCGCAAACTTTCTAATGTTAGTCGCGTTCTATCTCTGTTCTCCACATCTAATATTTTCGCGTTTTCAAAGTCTGCTGTATGCCCGCTATTCGTTAAATGTTGTGCTAATGCAGTCGTTGTCTTCTTATTTCTTGCGTCGGTTTTGTGTTCGCTTACTCTAATACCGAGAGCGCGCTTCGTTGCGCCTATGTATATTTTATTGCATGCTTCGCTACCAATTCGTTTTTATTATGTTATTTGAACGGTGAATTTCTACGTCTAGGGTCGGTGTTATGCAGACAAACTTTTGTTTGCCAAATTAAATGGCGGCTGCTTAGTTTGCTCGGAGGTGGTTATGTCGAGTTTGGCACAGGGTTGCACGTTCATTATGGTTTTCATGGCTATTGCCAACACGAAATTTCAGATGTACATAACGCGCAAAATTTAAAATTTTTGTATATGACAACACCGAATTTGCTGCAGTTTGACCAAACAAAATTAGTTTGCTGTGAGAATCTCCAAACTCGCTCTCTCCGAGTTTGCTGCAACAACAATTGCACGCAGTTTGCCAAACAAAATTTCTGCATAACACCGACCTAGGAAGGCTAACTTGTTTCTTCTTCTTCAGTGGTGAATTGGATTTTGCTGCATTGCGAATTAAAAACTTTTAAGATTTCTTCCACGTCATTTTCCTTACGATAGCGAATATGTCATCTTCATACTTATTTATGTATTTGATATACATATATGTCCTTAGTTTTAAGTTCAGCAATGCTGTCGTCAAGAAGGACTAGTGTTGCAAGCAACGCTTTTTCGTCAATAAGGGTGTTGTGCAGCAATTCAATGTGGTGAAAATTATTTTAGCACTAAAGAAGTGGATAGAAAAATATTTCATGCGCTTGAATATCTCAGGTTTAACCGAAATATAAATGTATTTAGAATATTTATTTTATTAATACATACCCATTTTTTTATTTAACTGGTCGAAGTCGTTGCTCAAATATTTGTAATTTAATATTTAAGTTCATTGTGAAATATATTGAATGCACAAATTAAATTATGGGAGCGATTTATTCACATGGAATTGGAAACAGGGCTGATGATATACTTTAAATAAACTGTGAATCTGCGAAAATATCTTTTCAGAATATGAATATACTTCTTAACTTTTTGACGAAAATTTACGTACGGGCTCGAAATTATGCCAGTAACTTTCAAATATCGTCTCTTGGATGGAACATTTCCGTAAGCGTCATTTTGACAGTTTTTAGTCAAACATGCAGTTATATATTTTAAAATAATTTGTTTTTGTTATTTTGTGGTCTTATAACAATTATATTCAACAATTTTTATTGAGCTTGAGGGTGTTTTTAATGAAAAACTTATTGTGGAAAAGCAACAATAATTTGAAAAAATGGTAGAAGTGATAGCTATTTCGGAAATAACCACATTTCCTCATCAGACTTCTTTCAGTAGGATTAGAACCGACGACCCCACTGACTCAGCCAGTTGCCTACGCACTGTGCTAAGCTCACCTTTCCAATTATCGTTGCTTTTTTCCCACTTTTTCATTTGTTAAGCCAACACATTCAAACGCAGCTATGATTTCTGATGAGGAAATGTGGTGATTTCCGAAATAGCTATCACTTCTACCATTTTTTTCAAATTATTGTTGCTTTTCCACAATAAGTTTTTCATTAAAAACGGCCTCAAGCTCATATAAATTGTTGAATAAATAAAAATTTACGTTTTGTTTCAATTAAAAGACCAATACTAAGCCCCTCTCCAGCCGATTGTCAAACTTTTTCCTTTGTTAGAAAGGTAAAACCCATGTCTTTCAAACAGATACAAATTTTAAATTCGACCAAAAAACAACAAAGTTATATATTTTTGAAGTTGTAACTTGAAGAATATCAAAGTTTTATTATATTTTTTAGTAAAAAACTAATAAACGAATTGATGGAGAAAAACTGTAAGTATAGTGGTGTCCTACGGGCTATAAAAAAACATAATATCTATGTATATGAGAACCTCTGCATATTTTTTGTGTAATCAATAAGATTTAAAAAGTTGATTGCTACCAACCTGAGGAATCACACCATAGAACAACTACTACTAACAAACAACCAACATTAACACTACTAAGCATTAACCGACGAACAGGAATTACTCAGAACGAAAAATTGCACTGAGTATGGCACAACGCCAAAACCGGTTTGTCTCCTAAACAAAATTTGAAAGGGATGGAGGAAATTCGTTCCAAAATATATCATACTCCTACCCCGTCGCAAGCATGAACAATAAAAAAGAAACTAGGCAATTGAAGTAGAAATACGGCCCTAAATTTATCTCAAAATTCAAAATTCACTTTTTGATTGATTATGATGCATTTTATCGAATTATAAGTCCCCACATCTATGTATATACATATGTATATGTTAGATTTCCAATCTTTTGCGCAGTGTGGCTCATAATTTCTTTAATATTGACTCTTCCGTACTCAAATCACCGTTTCTTATGTTAAGGTGAAGTTGCAAGATACACTTGTGGTCAGCTGATTAAGTTAAGTGACATTTTGACCAGTTTTGGTTATTTTTCTATTGTTTGTTTAATGTTTATATTTTTTTTTATAAAAGTCTAGCACATTACATAATCAGCGTGTTGATTTTTAATATTTTTTTTTTGGTTGGCTGCGCATATAAAAGTAATCGGCTATAAAACATCATATCTAAAATTTTTCTAAAATTTTTCCAAATTTTGTACGAAGATTGAAATGTGGACTTATGTGGTGCTAAACTTTTATACAACAATTATAAACATTTAATAGACAAAAGAAAAATAGCCAAATCTGCTCAAAATGTCACTTAACTTAATCAGCTGACCACAAGGGTATATTGGGCCACAGTGTTCTTCGTATATTAAATATTGAATATGTTTATCAAATAAAGTTGTGATGTCTCTTCACGACAAAGTGAATACAAAAAAATTTTAATATGCTTTCAGATTTCAAAAATAAACTATAATAACAATTTGAATTGAAGTACCCATTGAAGTGAATGATTTATACAAACTACTTTACGCAGTTTTGACCGTAACCGTTACGCGAACAAAGTTATATTACCATTGCTAGCAGGTATAAAAATAGCCCACCTTACGGTTCTCTTCCTCTTAAGTTTGGTACTTTTTTATCTTGAAAATGCACTTCGAAGCTGAAAAAAGGTAGCGGCGGACTCGGTGCCACATAGGGGTTTTTTACTTCTTCAAGAGATATACTAGTCTTGTTTGCTTTAGAACGCAGCAGATTTAATGATGTGATAAAATATGTATGTATGTATCTATTAATGTTATTTTCGTGCTTCTAATTTCACAGATTATACTAATGAAGAAGTTGGACTACCTAGAGGAAGAGGCAGAAGCATTGAAAATGTGTCTGACATAGGACATCTGTGGATAACTTTATCATTAGAAAGCATTTATGAAAAAAATGTGTTTAAATTATGAAACAATTGATGGTCTTATACATAGATATCATTATTTTTATTTATTGCTTTTTAATACATTTCGCCTTTTCATCAGCGCAATGCGTGTACATACATATATGTTATTATTAATTTCTTATTGTTAAAATTTCACCATGTAATTTAGAAATTCTCAACATAGAATATTAATTTTAAAATAATTAGTGTACACAAGGCAATGCTTGTAATTTGTAACTTTCGGAACGTAGTAATTTTAAGCTTAAGATACGTTTAAAATAGCGTTTTCCAATGTGTTATAATTGTACAAAATAATTTACAAAGTATACATTACGTAATAAGATAATCCGGAAAACAAAACTAGTCGAAATCGCTAGGGAACCAATGGATTTACTGGGTACCATAATAATCAAGGCGAATTCATATATAATTTATAAATTATATATGAATTCGCC